TAAGAAATTTTGCTGTGCTTTTGTCCTGTCCATGTTGGAGAAAATAAAAGACGGTGGCGACTCTTTCTTCCGCGACATTTTGCGAACCAGCGTTAAACAGTCAGTTCCAAATCCACCGATCACAGTAACTTAGGATTTAATTTTATCTGCAATCCCCATTTGTAAATATGTACATCCATCCCCCTAATACTTGTAATAACGTAGAATATCTATTTTCTGCACTTTTTATTGCTTTCATACATTATTAGTAATTAGGGTGTGTATGGCAAGACATGAAATTGACAAGTAGATAACCCTAATCAAGACTAAAAATGCATGCAATCAAACACACTTGCACACTAGCACACTTAGGGTAATCCCATTTTGTTACCTATCGCAAATATAGTCATGTCCCTCGAACATGGGCATTTTAGCAAAGACCCTCGATAAAAGATCATAGTCCCTTGATGACCCTCGATGTTGCCTTCGGTAAATGATCTAGTCCCTAAACGACATTGCTAAAATGTCCCATAGGTTGCCTTCTATGACTATACAAATGTCCCACACTCGTCCCTTCACATCCAACGATGGGGCTTCTCACCAAAACAATGGTAAGATAGTAACATCTAAGGGAGGAGGAAAAGAAAAAATAAGACCTTTTGAGTAGGTAGATTTGCTCCTAGTTGCTCGCTTACTCACAACAAAATTTTTTTACACCAACACTCTCATTTGAAATATTTTCAAAAGAAAAACACTTCGTATGCGTTCTTATAGAAACGAAAGCCATTACAAATAAAACCCTTTTCAAAATCACTTTCAAAAACACATCCCACAAACACCTCTTTGAACAATTTTTAAAACAACACTTTGTACACAATCTTATAGAGACGAGAATCATTACAAAGTCACATTTTCAAAATACTTTCAAAACCCACATCACAAGTACACATTCAAACAAAAGCAAGTGATCTAGCAAGTAACTAAGAGCCCATGGAAAACCATGGATGAAAAGGGTGTTAACACCTTCCCTTTTCATAATCTATCCCCTGAACTCAAGAAAACATCTCTAAAGGTCTTTCCTATGCTTTTTCACCTTTCCTTATTGGATAAAAGAAAAGTCAGTGGCGACTCTTGCTAAACCCCAACATTTATGATCAAACGCAAAACAAAAAGTCAATTCTCCCACCGTATCATAATCATCATACGATAACGCTTATCCGAACTTCCTCTAAAGTCATGGGTCTCATGGTCGGGTCTACAAGACATACGCCTCATAGCCGCCATGGCCACTCTATTCCTAGTTCCTGTGGAATTCACTCATAGCCTGTGTATGGAGCCTTTTAACTCATGGAACAACCCACCCACCAAGAAAACCAGAATCCATCCCACAAATATCCAATATGGAAATCAATAAAATGCAATGCAAACATATGCTCAGATAAACATGTATAAATGAATAAACGGAAAGCATAAAAAATAAAGACCTAAAGAAAATAAAATAATAGCTAGGATTGACTATGATATGGACCAGCATTTGGTCAACTATCATGTCCCCAGTGAAGTCGCCGGCTGAAACAACTGGCGGAACCGTCATTCGATATAAAATAAAAATGTAGTCGCCACCGAACGTCTTTTATCCCATATGAAGGGAAAGGTAAACATCGAGAAAACCTGAGAAGGGAGAGGTCACGGTCTTGTGACCGAGAGATCGGGTAAGGGAGTCTGTTATGCGAGGGAAAGGTATTAGCATCCCACACGCCCATAGTACTCTATAGTATCCACTCTTGTTGTTCTAATCTAAGGGTGTGAAAAAATCTATGTCTAAGGCTTAAAGCTGAAAAGGGAATGCATGCAAAGAAAAAGGAAAAGAAAGTGTGGGGAAAAGAAAGGAACATTTACAAAGATATGCTCGAATAGGCCCCACAAAAGCCTCTGCCTACGTATCCCTTTTAATGAATCAGAGCAGCCGTAGTTCGACTCATATATTTTGGTTGGTTTGTGTTTTTTAGTTAAGAAGACAAAAGCAACAGTCAAGATGGAAAAACATCAGATAAAATGACAAAACATCAACAACGATGATAAAACAACAAAAAAGGGATGACAAGACATCATATGGTAACAAAAACTCAAATAAGATGATGACATGTCATCATGATAACAAAATATCAGATAAAACGATGAAACATTACACCTAACAATGATATCGAAAATTAAAGTAGGATGATAAACATACACGATGGCGAAACATCGACAACAAAAATATGCAATATCGAAATGTCAGCAAAAAGATATCAATATAGCATGGCAAAGATGACGAGACATCAACAATCCAGATGATAAAACATCACACCTGACAATGATATTGAGAATCAAGGTAGGATAACAAACACGCGATGGCGAAACATCGGCAAAAAGATAGCAAGATAACATGGCAAAGATGACGAGACATTAACAATCCAGATGATAAAACATCACACCTAACAATGATATTGAGAATCAAGGTAGGATAACAAACAAACGATGGTGAAACATCGGCAAAAAGATAGCAAGATAACATGGCAAATATGATGAGACATCAACAATAAACATAAGCGATGGTGAAACATTGACAAAAAGATATGCGATGGCAAAACATCAGCTAAAAGATAGCAAAATATCATGGAAAGGATGACAAAACATCAACTTAAAAATGTTTAAAACAAAGCCAAAAGGCGCATAATCAAATGAGATTGGTTAGTATTTTTTACCTTGAAGAAGTATTTAAGTTCATTAGAGACGTTTTTATGATTTGCCAAGAAGAAGTTTTAGTTTTAAGATGCAATATGCAAAGAAAGGAAAAATAACTAAGGGAAACTAGCCTAACATTACCCCTAATGTTATCATACAATGATTGACCCTAAGGTTGAGGATGAAAAGGGAAATTTCTAACCTAGTGAGCATACATGGATTCCTATCCTAAAGTCTAGCTCGAAAGCTACTCTAATTGAGCGATCCTAAGGGAAGCAGCAAAAATGTCACAGATCCTGTGACAAAAACAAGCAAACAGATGGAAAAACATCTAGACAAACAAAAACTTAAGCATCACTCGAATATCAAACACCTACGAGGCGCAAGCCTAGTAGTAGAAAGGGAGGTCCCTCCATAGACAAGCAACCAAGCATTAGACCAAATGTCAAGCCATAGTCAAGGGGAGCTTATCACCCGAGTCAATAAGCTATAGAATTATAGGAATATAAAAGGGTCCTTAACCGTGATATCAATTACCAGGGAAAGAAATATCTGGAGGAAAATACATAGTGCATGCGTACACTAAGCATCAGTGTTGGTCAACACGAGCTAAAGAAAGCGTGGGGATCCGATTGCGGGAACCCTTTCACTTGCCTTTAAAGGACTTAGAATTATTCATATATTGAGCACATGTTCATAGCGTTTACTTGTGGAAAGTGGGCATAGGAACGACACAAATTGGAATGTGCGAGGGTCGATTACGGACCTCCCCGCTCGCCTCTTTTTGAGGTCTTCAATAAGGGTTGGGGGAATAATGCAGGCACAAATGTAAACACACCTACAAAATACCTACACAAAGTTAGGGTTTTAAACAAACCACACACAAGTAGCACACAATAGCAAATAATGCGGAATTTTCCTAAACGAGTCTTTAAATAAACCAGAGGGGTTCTTGATATGATCAGCAATGGAGACCCCCTTCATACATCTCTACCCTACTTCTCATGGTAAGGGAAGCAGTAAAGCCCTACTTCTCATGATTTCTATAAAGGTGATAAAGAAATGCGATAAAGTGAGGAGAAGTACAAAGGTAGTAGCGACGACTACCAAAGAGAGAAAATCCTCAAGAGCGGATGAAAGCAACGGAGAAGCGGGGAGTACACGTCGAGGAAGCTTCACCAAGAAACAAACAGTAAGAAATGATATCCATCTAAGAGAAAAGCAAACACGCATTGTGAATGCAACACATAATCAAAAGTTCCTGCACAAAGCTCATAAAAGTATCACATGTATTAGGATAACATATAATACGATATGAATTTCTCAGGATGATTAGAAATAAGACATGTCGCATCGGAAGTGAGCATGAGCCGTATGCTTCGATCACATAACTACCTGTTATGTTACATGATCGAAAGAATAAAAACGTACCTTGCACAACTTTAAAAAACAAGTTAGTAATCCGGGCAGCGGTGGCATTAACACTTGAAAGTGAGCAAAAGTCGCATCAAAAGTTAATAAACTTGATAACAAAAGCATACAAGGAGCACCTAGGGTCGAGGCTAGAAAAAATAATCGGTAAATAATTCAAACCTCAAGAAAAAATTATCAAACTAACATACACATTATTTTCAAGTTAGTTTCTAATTATAGCCCGATGATTGGCTCAAAAATAATGTTCGACAATTAGTACATGCAGGCTTCGATCAAACGGAAGCCAATAGGAGCAACTTTACCAAAAAACGATTTATGAGAAAAATTAAATCAAATCAGAAAAATAAGGAAAAATATCCTAAAAATTCCTAACATAACATAAAATCAGAAAAGTATTTTTGTAGATTTTATTTGTAAAGCAAAACTCAGAAATCGAGTCGAAACGTACAAGTGACCGCATAAGCATTGTTTCTAGACACATTAACAAAAAGTAATTACAAGAAAATGGAAATTAATTATAAAAAATCCACAAAAATTATCACAAAATTCCTAAGATGCTAAAGAGTCCGGATTATATTTTTTTTATATTTTTTAGAAGTCAGAAATATCCAACTCGAAAGCTAAATGGAACATGCATCTATGACTATGTACACCAAGGTTGGGAGGTGTATTAGTAATTGCCAGTTTTGAACTAAATTCAGTTGCAAATGCCAACATTGGGCTTAAGGGAGGGGTGTGAACGTAAATTTCTAAGACCAAGCCAAAATCAATCCATGATCAAATGCTATTATTTAATTTTCTTATTACCACTATTATTATTGTTTTGGTAAAGAAACAAGAATTAAATTACATGAAACGGTACTGTTTTGGGACTTTTAGGGTTGAAAATTTGTGACGCTTTGGAACCCAGAGTTCTCTTCTTCCTCTTTACGCTACGGCCAACAAGATCTTTATCACTCGGAAGTTCACGATGTTGCGGTCGTTCATCACCGTCAATCTTCCCACCTTCTTCGGTACGATTCAGTTCTCAGATTCGCTCAATCTTTCTCTCTTCTTCAACTAGGATTTCATCTTCGCGTTTCAGCTTCACGCCTCTCAGCTTCGATTTTAATGCATCTCAACTTTTGGATTTCGAAGCCGCGAATCAATCCTTCTCCGCTTATTTTTGACCGTGTCTACACCTCAACTTCATCTTTGGAATTCAAAGGTATCTTTCAGCTTTCGCCTTTTCCGTTTTTTAAAACCACTTCTTCTTCTTCGATTTCTTTGGTAGCGTATTCTTCTTCGAATTCGTTGATGTGACGTGTGATTTATTATTGGTAACAGATTGGAGGTGCGTTGATGAGGAATAGCGGTAGTGAGGATTGTTGAGAAGTTTGGGAAATGACGTTGTTTCGGTTGCATTTCACAGAAGAATGAAGAATGAAGATGATGACCATAAAGTTGCAGTAGAAGATAGTGATAAAGGTTGAAGATAGATTGATGATGGAGGAAGCAGAGGTTGAAGACAGAGAGGACTCAGATTTCTGTATGGTCAGTTTGTTACCTGTATCATATCTTGTGAATGAGTTCTTTTCCTCTGAGTTTTTTTTGTATGACTTGTGTAGAATTGTAACTGAATTGTGTGTGAATTGTTGATTATTGATGAAGAAAGTAGAACATAGATTGACATATGGAAGATGGTGATGCAGGGAAGTTGACGAAAATGGATGCAGATGGATGAAATTCAAGATGCAAAGATGAAGGTTGTTGAATTTTTCAGAGAGAGACTAAAGAGAGTCTTGAGAGAATTTTGAGGTGAGGTTTTTTTCCTGGTTTCTGCATAATGAATCCCTTTTTCTTTTGAATATCAATTTTGTTATATACCAGTTAGAGTTTGTTAGGATTAAAGTCATCAGGACCTTTGGATTTCAGGAATCTGTTAGGACATAGAGGGCTCAGATTAATCCCGTTATTAAAATATTGTTGAGCTGGAATTTGAACTTTTCCACTGATTTTACTTCCTCATATTTTTCTATTGAAACATATTTTTTGTACTGACTGATTTTCTGTTTTCTGAACCGACTGATTTTCTGTTTTCTATACTGATACTGGCAATTATTTATGTCAAACCTGACTTTGAGTAATACTTTCCCTGTGAATTAATTGATCTGGCTCCCCTTGCACGCGGTTTGCACCCTTTCCCTTTTATATTTTCCTATTTTTTGAAATTGTAGTTTTCTTCTGACTTTGCAGGTGCAGGGCTGGTACAAAGCATGGGACGATGGATTGTTATGGTGAATAAGGTCTGCATATTTGCAAGGCGTTTGGCATGGAGATTATGATATGTTTATCTTGTTTTACTTCCTTTTGTTGTAATGTTTTTTTTTTTTGTAATGGTGAATAAAGAATTTTGTTGGAAATTTTGACCAGCATTGAATGATGAATAAAGATGCATCAAGTGAACTTGAGTGAGAAACTTGAACTAAACCTTGAATCTCGTCTAGTAATTTATTACTCCCAAGTGAACAAATCATTCAAACTTAGAATATGGATCCACTTGTCAAACTTGATTCAAAATAGTCACTTATAGGGATTTTGAATCGCTCTTAAACTCGAAGGAACTTGAATACCTTGGCTTGAGATTTTCATGACAAAGAAAGAATTTTGGGAGAATTTTGGACGATCTTAATTCTTTTGTAACAAATGAATAACTATCCTCAAAACCTTATAGGAAATTGAGCATTATTAGCGGATTAGGATGACGAGAGAATTGACTCTTGATTATGGATAGATCTTTAATAATAGATGATGAACAATGCAATAGTAGATGAATATGCCCTTGTTACTTGATCTCAAGAAATCCAACTATATCTTCCTAACCGCAAACATTAAGTGCTTCAAGTCATTTGAAACAGTCTAAATTCAAAATAATAATGAACCTAAGTTCAACTAAATTCTCGAGTTCGAGATTCAATCTCAGATTCGAACCAACAAGCCTCAATTAAATGAAGACAACAAAAAATGTCTTTGTCATAACCTCATCCTTCGTACCAAAATTCAGATTAAACAATAAGGTTTCTTGAACTAGTGATTAGTAAATTATTAAGATAAATCTTCATGTCCTTTCGTCTTGACGAAATCCTCTTGTCTAAGTCAACTTCAGATGATGCCTTAATCTTACAAGGAATATAAGGAAAATAAACCCTAATATCGGGAGATACATGGGAGAACAATGATTCAAGAATCAACACTTTAAAATTCAATTCTTTGATGGCACAAAGAATTAAATGAGATGTCCCGAGGCTTTGAGAAGCTTTGGTAACCCGAATGATCAAAGCAAATGAGGAGATGAGATCCGTATTGGGCTGATTGGTAATATAACCAAAATCTATAGCTTGTAGAGAACTAAAAAACCTTGATCTCATCACAATGCATGAATGTGATGCAATATGATGATTATGATGAAACATAAGCCTAAATCAAGACGGTAAATTTTGGGGTGAAACAACCTCTTTCACCTTCTTTGCATCTCTAACCGATTTTTCAAGAATATCCCATGCTTCTTTTGCTGATTCTACATCACTCAACTTTTCAAAGTTATTTGGATCAACATATTGATGAATTATAAAGAGAGATTTATAATTATTTTTCTTCGATTCTTTATGTGCAGCCTTGTGTTCATCCATAGCATCTTCTCCAATTATCATCTTCTTGAGTGAATCAACCACTACCTTGGTTGCAAGATGATTCATGTAACACAGAAATTTTGAGAAGGAAAAATTAATTGAGGAAGAAAAGAGAGATTAGGGTTTGACAAAAAAGGGGAAGAAGAAGAAGAAGATTCCGCAAAGATTCTCTCTGACTTTCTCTATTTTATCCTCACTTACTCCCAAAATCCCTGCTTTTCCATTCTCCTTAAATTTCTATTTTATTTTAGTTATTTAATCAAATAATCAAATATTAACAAAAAATCCCATATTTCTCTCATTTTTATTTAATTAATTAAAGTACTAATAATTTAATTATTCTAATTAGTTCTCACAAACACTTTAGTCTTAACACACTTTAGAACGTCTCCTACACCCCACATGGTGATTGATTCCTATTCCATAACACAAACAGCATCAGGGGGCAGTGGATGAAGGGCATACCTATGAGATCCAGGGCGTGAGTTCAATTCCCACCCCATACACATTATTTTTTTTCTATTTTTCTAACCCTAATTTATTTTGCATTTTCTTAATTAATTCCTTTCTAATTAACCATTAACAAGTCTAATTTTTTTAAACTATAACAAATTAGGATTGGGATTTTCTAATTAGTAATTAACATCTTAAAACATTTTTATTTATTAATTAATTATCTTTTTCTAAATATTAAAATTAATTAAAAATAATTATGTTTTTATTACTATTATCACTTAAATTATTTTCTACAAAAAACATTAAAACACTTCTTCTAACATTTTTCTTATATCTTTTGCTATTTAATTTCCTAGAACAAGTGTATAGGTTCGTACAACTGATGTAATAGCGTAGATTTACTTTCTCACATCTTTTCCTATTATATAACTGCTCACAGGATGTAATAGCTTAGGTTTAAATTTCCACATTTTATATTTCACACTTTAATTTCCTATATATATTTAACTGTTAGTAATCAGGATTTGTATGGAAAGACTAAAAGCAATCTAGAAAACCCTAATTCCCAAGATAAGATAACTGAATTAACATATTTTGCACACTTTTACCTCTAGGGTAACCTCCCTTGTTGCCTTACGATAATATTGGTCATGTCCCTCGAAACTGGGGATACTTTAGCAAAATACCCTTGATACAATCATCATAGTCCCTATGATACAAAAGATCATAGTCCCTCGACGATCCTTCAAGTTTCCTACAAAATGATCTAGTCCCTCGATGACCCTACGAGAAAAACGATGATAGTCCCTATAATAAAATTGCTAAAGTATACTTACATGTTGCCTTCGATGACCATATGATGATCCTACGCATGTCCCTTCATATCCAATAGATAGGGCTACCTACCAACTAATGGTATGGATAGTACTATTTCCAAAGGAGAAGGAAAATAATAAGAAAGACTTTAGTGGGTAAGAACTCTTGAATGCTTGCTCGCAACTCAAAACATTTTCACCCATCACTTTCAAAACAAATATTTTCAAAAACACCTTGTATACATTATTGAGGACTGATACAAGAATTATTACAAAGTCTTCCTTACATTGGCAATTCAAAATATTTTCAAACAAATCACACACACACACAAAGCAAGTTTTTAAAAAGTAAGCTAAGCAATTAAGAGCCCGTAGATAACTACAGATGAGAAGGGTGCTAACACCTTCCATTTTCATAGCTTACCCCCCGAACTCAAAATCTATCAAAGGTCTTTCATGTTCTTTTCACCTTTCCTAAATATTGGATAAAATAAAAGTCAGTGGCGACTCTTGCTAACCGAAACATTTGCGATAAAACAAAAAAGTCAGCTCTTCCACCGTATTACAATAAGCTTAGAGAAATCCCTAACAAGTTTCATGTTAGTAGAACCAAATATGATATAATGTCTGTTGTACCCAAAAAATTCCCCTCTCATATTTCTCAAAACATTGCAAGAAAGATCTCCAAGTTGCTCAAGGCAGTCCAAGGGTTGGCCAGACAAGCTCCCTCCTAATGCAGTCAGTCTACTTAAAATTAGGGTTTCATGTTGCATCAGGATAATTGAGTCCAAGTGATCCCAAGTGCTCACCAATGTCCTAATATGTTCTCAAGATCATCTATGACAAGTTTCAAGCCTTGCAGAGGAAGTTTGCTCAGTCAATTGCTCAAAAGTCCAAAAATCGACTGTGCTAGGGCAAAAGTCAACTATGACCCAAATACAGTCAAACTTCAAGATTTTTTGTCAACATCCTCATTTTGAAGTATATTTAATCATTTGATCAAGGGTTGATCATGATTCATCAAGGATTGATCATAATTCATCAAGATTCAAAAGTTGCTAAATTAGGGTTTTTTAGGAAAAGATAACTCAACTTTGACCAAGCATAACTTTCTCATACTTAATGAGAAATGACCCATCCAAAGCTCATTTTGAAGACTATGCAATTCCCTACAATCCATATTCAGCTCCCAAGTTCAAAATATGCACTCACAAGAAGTTATGAATTTGG